CGATAATAGAACATTTCCTGATGGAGCCGATGAACCTCATGTGAAGCAGAAGCCAACAAGATGGAGACCAGAATAGAAGAAGGTACGTCCCATAAAATTAAGAGACTTTGTTGGATTTAATTTTGTGTTTGTAAGTTCTGTACATTTAATTAAGTTATTGTTAATTATCTATTGGTTTAATTTAAGTGGCTATTGTTCGGGACGAACAATACTAAGGAAGGGGCAGTGTTATGACAGCGGAAGTCCCGTGATGCTGGTAACATGTGATGAGTGTCTAGAAGATTTGTGAAGACGCTAGTGCGTGCTATGCACGCATTTTTTATTGTATATAAGCGTGCCAGACAAAGGAGAGGATCATTCGGAAATGGAGTAGCAGAGAGGAAGATTGAAGTTATAGACACCGATAACCACCGTAAATAAAGTGCGTGAATCGTTTGTTGTGAATTATAGCGTGTGTTTAAGTAAAAGTGACTGTGGAAATTAAATGCATTGCAAAGTTGAATTGAGAAAGAATAAACTAGTTTTATTCAAGAAAGGACTTGTATCGCAGAAGTTTCTACGGAAAATTAACAAATGAACATAACAATAACAATAGCATAAAATCTTAGTTAATAATCCATATTTTAATAGTATACAAGTTTTAAGTTCTTAATTCTACAAGGAAATATTTTTTTAAAACTCTGAATTTCCACTAGTGTGACCCACGTGACACATTTTCTCTTAACATGTCTTCATCCCTATTTTATCCACCACCACTAGAAAAAGTAAGAAATTAAATGTAAATTATTCTCTATAAAATCATCATTGCTCAAAGAAACCATAATTTTTATAGTTTTCAATTCTGTTTGGTTACAGAACTATCAAATAGAAAATCAGACCCCTCCAGCCACACCCTCTCTTACAGAATTTGTTGATAGTTCTCTCTTATGTTATATTACCTACAACCAACAGAACATTATGTTCTGAATGGTTAAATGTGAATTTCACTCAGAGTACCAACATCGTTCCCGTGAGAAAATTAACGACTAGCTTGGATGAATTTGTAACAACTTTTGTCACACAGTTAGAAAGCCAGAAAAATTTTGAGAGGTAAGGGAATATGTCTACTTTTTGCATGTTATGAGTTTATATTCCTTGGTGCATTATTTAATTAAATAAAAATGATTAAGTGAATTACTATCATTAGTATACAAAATTAGGGTTAACACTCTTCAACAATCGACAGCAAGAAAAAAGAAAATTGGTTAAGTATTTTATTTCTTATTTTTCATGTTTATTCTTTATGTATAATTATAAAAGTAACTAAAACATTAATATGGGATCATTTTAGGTTAGTTAAGATTAGATTAGGTAAAATAAATAATAATAATATTATAATAAAAATGTTTCATGAGGCACACACACAAACAGCATGTAGTAACTCATGGGTAATATAATTCATGAGTGTAATGTGAGCTGCGCATTCCCCAAATAATTTACAACTTATAATGGTGTGGATAGTAGTTAGACACAGTCTAAAGGTCAATAAAACAATAAAATTTAACTATAAATAGATGTATAGTGTTACAAACTTAGAGCTACTTAGGGTAAATGAATGTAGTTTCATGTTACAATTTGAAGTCATTCTAAAAAGAAAAAAAGGGTAATTTAGGTTTATTTCAATTTTATTTTATAGTTACGAGGTCGGTCGATTAGACTGATCCCGTTTTGAGATAGGGTAGAGAAAATAACATATAAACTATAAAGTTTACTGAGAAAAAAAAATGTTTGAAATGCATTTAGGAGGTTCCAGGGATTACACAAAGGAAATTTGAGATTTTTGAGATAAGGAAAAGTATTTTTAATTCTAACACAAAAATTACTTTTCACACGGTATTCAAACAAATACTCAATATATTCATGGACAAATCTTTATTTTATTGAAAATACTTCACTGAAAATATGATTTTTTTGTATGTGAAAGACTTATAATATTAACTAAAAGACTGCCAATTTTTGGGAAGATATGCACACTATACTGTAAGTTAAAAGTATTAAATCTATAAAGACTTTAAAACGTGTACAAAGAGGTCACATGTTTGGTCAAATTGACCAAGCCCATGTTGAGAGAGTTAAAGTGTCCTGGAAGTCAAAGGATTAAATCTATTATTCACCACACTGAGGTCTACTTGACCACTGTCCTCTTTAATACAAACCTTCCATCTCTTCTATGATCTATCTCCACTTCTTGCCTTTCACTCTCCTCTCTGCTACCCATTTTACCAAACTGTCCTCAT